AGGTGTTCCTTACAGTGAGACCAGATATGGGAAGCCCTGGGGCAGCCTCCCCTTTGAGAACCAGAAGGAACATCAAGACATGACAGGCGAGCGAAGGGATGACTGTTCCCAGAGTGAGGCAGAAAAAGGGGGACTCCAGGGTGCCTCCAAAGGTTTTCCACAGCCCTAGGAATGGTGCCCTGTTACAGTCAGGTTTGGGAGTTGACTGTAGTACACTAACCCAGCTCCTCCCTTTTGCTCAGTGTCCTGCCTTAGACTTTAACTCAAGTTAATCATAGTACAAGTGGAATTGTGCACCTATACTACTGGCAGCTGGCAGTGCTGAGCATCTGTAGTGTGCTTCTTGGTGAGTGGGTCTGGGGCACTGAGAGGAGGATGATTGCATGGTTAACACTAGTACCTGTGACAGCATCACAGCAGCACTGTAGGCAGTGAGAGGGACGGCCTATGAATTAATGGGCATGGTGGGGACAAGACTTTAGTGCTACAACTTGACAAATCATCAAGGGCATGTAGTGCACAGATGGCTTAGGCTGCTCAAGGCTAGTCTCAATGTCAGGGATAGCTCTCTGTGGACAGTGACTGGTACTTGGTTTCCAGTTGGCTAACTCCCCTTTCAGCATAACCTGCTGCAGGCTTCCTTTAAACGTATGCTTTATCCCCCTCATGATTGTAACACTGATGCCATCCTTTCCAGTCATCCTCTCTACTTTAGCCAATAATTTCCCATGAGGCATGGTATCAAAAGCTTAGCTAGAATCTAGATAACTTAATCCTACTGCACCACCCATATCCAAGGAATCCATCAAGAGCTCCCTTCACAGTGTCAGCTGTATCCCTTACAGTTCTGGGCCAGCAGCACCCTCAACAGAGCCGAGGTATCTCCCTCCTCCCCTTCTTAAATACTGGCACCACATTGGTCCTTTTCCAGCTTCTGGGACCTCTCCCAAGCACCATGAGTCTTGCTGAGCTCCCTTCCACAATGCAGCATGGAGTAAGCTATCCTCCCCAGCCTTCAGCAATGCCACCTCCCAGCCACAGATACCAGCAGCAGCTTCTGTTAGTCTCCCATAGAATTTCTTCCCAGTTCAAGCACTACCCTCAAAAGCACCCTGTATGCCCATGCCCCCACATCCACCCAGACTTAGTCATAGAATCTTAGAAAGAAGGACCGGAAGGGATCTGTAAGATCATCAAATCCGGTCCTCTGCCATGGGCAGGAGGTAATTGGACTTAAATAACCTCAACGAGTTGCTTGTCCAGCTTTCTCTTGAACACCACCAGGGATGGTAACTGCACCACCTCTGCTGGAAGTATGTTCTGGATTCTAGTTACCTCTACGGAAAAGAAGTTTTTCCTTATGTCTAGCCTAAAATTTTCCTTGACTGGCTTGTGCCCTTTGGACCTAGTCCTCCCAAGAGGTACTTTTCTGAAAAGTTGCTCTCCCAGATCCTGGTGTTCTCCCTTGACGTATTTGTAGGCAGCTGTTAAGTCTCCCCTCAGCCTTCTTTTACTCAGACTGAACAAACCCAGATCCCGAAGTCTTTCCTCATAAGGCCTATCCCTCAGGTCCCTGATCATGCATGTGGCCCTTTTCTGCACCCTTTCAAGCTTGTCCACATCCTTCTTGAAGTGCGATGCCCAGAACTGGGCACAGTACTCTAGCTGTGGCCTCACCAACGCTGGCTAGAGGGGGAGGAGCACCTCTCTGGATTTGTTGGCACAGAGTTCTATTTGCTTTATTGGCGACTTCATCACAATGGTGGCTCATATTCATCCTCTGGTCAATTATCACCCCTAGGTCCTTTCCAGATGCAGTGCTAGCTAGTGGACCACCACCCATCGTATAGATATGATAAGGGTTCTTTCTACCCAGATGAAGGACCTGGCACTTGTCACTGTTGAACCTTATCTGATTGCATTCAGCACATAGAACCAGCCTGTCAAGGTCATCCTGGATCTGTGTCTTGTCCTTGGATGTGCCCGCTTATCCTCACAGCTTGGTATCACCCTCAAACTTAATCATTGCACTTTTCACTCCCTCATTCAGGTCATTGATAAAGATGTTAAAGAGCATAGTCCCAAGCAGTGATCTCTGGAGGACACCACTGGAGATGGCCCTCCAGGATGAGGCCACTCCATCAATTACCACTCGCTGGGATCAGCTGCTAAGCCAGTTGCCAACCCACCTCACTGTAGCCTGGTCTAGGCCAGTACTCTCCAACTTAATTGAGAGAATTTAATGAGAAACAGTATCAAAGGCCTTGCTGAAATCTAGGTAGATGACATCCACCTCCTGTCCCACATCCAGCTGGTTAATTACCTGGTCATAAAAGGACACAAGGTTTGTTAGGCATGACCTCCCCTCAACAAAGTCATGCTGGTTATTTCTCGCTACCCCACCAGGTGCGAGCGTGTGGTTGATAGCTTCCTTGACAATTTTTTCAAAGATTTTTCCCAGGACTGAAGTCAAATTTACCAGTCTATAGTTAGCAGGGTATTCCCTCTTTCCTTTCTCAAAGATGGGTACCATGTTAGCCCTCTTCCAATCATTCGGGACCACTCCTGAGTTCCACAACTCTTCTAACAACCTCACCAAAGGCACCACTATGAACTTAGCCAGTTCCTTCAGCACTCTCAGATGAAGGTCATCTGGCCCAGCCAACTTGAAAATGTCCATATTATCTAAGAGTATCTGGTCCTGTTCAGGAATGATTTTATGTGGACTGCTATCACTCCCATATTCTCTGTGCCTCTAGACAGGTGACAAGTTCTCATGTGGTTTCAGGAATACTGATGCAAAGTAAGTATTAAGGAGCTCTGCCTTTTCACAGGGGTCAACTGTGGGCTTCACCTCCATATTCAGTAGGAGTGCCACAGTGGAGCTTGATTTTTTTCTTGCTCCCTATGTACCTATAGAAGGATTTTTTATTGTCTTTAATTTTGGTTGCCAGCTTGACCCTGGCCGCATGAGCGTACTCTTCTTTGGATGCTGAACCATTTTTCAAATGCATGTACACTTCTGAAAAAGAAAAAAGAAGTTCCCTAATGTGTCTATTGAGCCAGGTGGGTCTCTTGGCCCCTTTCCCTCTTTTTGATCACCTGGGGATGGCCTCTTTTTGAGCAGTGAGAATAGCCTCTTTAAGGAAGCTCCATCCTTCATGAGCTCCCAAGTCATCAAATCGCCAGTTGCAAAGGGCCTTTCCAACTAGACTCCTGAGTTTACCAAAGTCTGCCCATCTGAAGCCTAGGACTTCCGTTCTACTGGTAAAATTCCCAGTCTTTTGGTGTAGTGAATCTAATCAAATCATGATCACTGTCACCCAGAGCACCTTCAGTCTTCAGGTTGCCTACCACACCTTCACCTTTGGTCAGCACCAAGTTCAGAGTGGCTTTACACCTAGTCAGCCCCTCCACAGCCTGTGTCAAGAACAGGTTGTCGATAGTAGCCAAGAAGTTGGTTGATCTGCTGGAGCTGGCTGAATGGTCTTCCCAACAGATGTCAGGGTAGTTGAAATCACCCATGACAATCAAGTCTTTAGTACTTGCTGCTTCGGTCAGTTCCCTGGAGAATGCCTGGTCACTCTCCTCTTCTTGGTAGGGAGGCCTATAGTAGACCATCAGGTCCCCTTCTCTTGAGCCCCCTTGTATCTTGACCCAGAGGGTCTCAAAGGACTTCCCCCTGCCATCAAATATAACTTGAAGGAAGGGATACTGCTCTTTCACATAGAGGGCCACCCCTCCACCCTTCTTCCCAACCCTGTCTTTCCTATAGAGCCTGTAGCCCTCGATATCCACTACCCAGTCATATGCATCATCCCACCAAGTCTACGTCAATCCAACGAGTTCAAATTCCTCATTTGCCAGAAGGAGTGCCAGTTCATCATGTTTGTTCTCCATGCTTCTGGCATTCCCATAAAGACAACTGAGCTTACTTCTAGTCATCTCAAGTTTTCTGTCCCTCTGCAAGTGTCTCTGGATGTTGGTAGTTATCTGGATGTCCTGTACATAAATACCCTCCTCTGGGTGCTCTTGGACAAAGGATTTATGCCTAGCAGTGGATTTATGCTCAGCAGTGGAATCTTCCCCCACTCCCCCGGGCATATGTAGTTTAAAGCCCTCCTCAGCAAGTCTGCAGTTCTCATGAAGATGAGTTTCTTCCCTCTACCCGTGAGGTGGATACCATCTCTTGCATGCAGACCAGTGCTGTTGAACTGCATACCAAAGTGGAAGAATCCAAAGCCAGCATGGTAACACCAACTCTGAAGCCTTTGGTTGACTTCTTTGCATTCCTCCCTCTGACAGCCTCGGCCTCTAATGGGGAGGATTGAGGAGAAGACCACTTGTACTCCTAGTTCCTTGAGCTTCACCCCCATGGCCTTGTAATCGCTCATGATTCTCCCAGAGTTGTTTCTCACTGTGTCGTTGGTGCCGACATGGACGAGGTGGTAGTCATACGATCTTAAAAGCTTGATCATTATTCTAGGATATTCCAGTTTAAGCTTGTGTAAGCAGTTTATGTATCAGTCAGAGCTCATGTAAGACCAACATTGGTCAATACTTCAACTAAGTCTGATGAGTATATGTCCTAATGAATGGTCGTATTAATCAGTAGTCCAGCAAGGCCTAATAATGTCATGTGGCATTCTGACTAAATGAACTAGTATAGTGCACATTCATTTGTTTAAATGCACACTAAGTGCATGTTAGGAAGAATCATTAAACAGAGCATAACTTCGAAGACAAAATGCTAATTGATCTGAGGAGTTAATAAAATTTCTTGTAAAGTTTATATATACTAAAGTCTAGTGGAGTGGTAAGTAACAACAAGATAAGTTTATATATACTGTTCCCATATTGTATAATGCGCATATCTCCACGTAACAAAAGACATAGGTTTTGTATTAAATATTGTTATCAGAGTTGTGCTTTTAAATCTAGTCACAATATTATGGTTTTTTATGTTACATAATAGGCTCTAACCATCTTTTTATATTTAGTCCCGACAGACACCAGAAGGGGAATTCCTGCCATTAGATCAATGTGAGCTGGATGTTGGATTTGGAACTGGAGCTGACCAACTGTTTTTAGTTTCTCCGTTAACAATATGTCACGAAATCAACTCAAAAAGCCCCTTTTTTTGTCTATCACAAAGATCACTGAGAAGTGAGCAATTTGAGATAGTGGTCATCCTTGAGGGGATTGTTGAAACTACTGGTAAGATTTTTGACAAAGTATACAGTCTATCTATTCATTTAATTTTGATGCTTCCTTCTCTTAGTCCTAATATTTCCTTTAATTAGTTGTGAAGCAGTGTACTTAGTATTTCAAAGTTCTTCTCTCCTGGAAAACTTTGTATTTATTTTGATCAAGATTTTTATTTGGCAAGATTGGAGTAGATTTTTTGCGTGGGCTAGACTTCCATGATCATTTCATGAGGCTGCCCTCCTACTTCTGCTATGTAATAAATCTTTCAGCTCACTTCTAACCTGACATCTCAGAGACACTAGCATCAATAAAATATCAGACCAGTGTCTGAGACAAAAGTCCTAAAATGTATCTTTGCTTTCATCTTAATTATGCCCCACATTACCTATTATTCAAGGTATTTGGCATGATTACACAAAAAATTAGTCAAATATTAACTGTTAGATGATTCTTTTTCATGTATTTGTTAGCTGTAAAAAGGACTTATTTTATTATGTACTCTTATTATATATTTTCTATCATATATTGATCTATGCATGCATTTTATAATATTGATATTTTTGTTTGTTTTTATAGGCATGACATGCCAAGCTAGGACCTCTTACACAGAGGATGAAGTCCTCTGGGGCCATAGATTTCTCCCTGTAATGTCCTTAGAGGATGGCTTTTTTCGTGTAGATTACTCTCAGTTTCATGCCACATTTGAAGTCCCCACTATGCCTTACAGTGTAAAGGAACAGGAAGAAAATTTGTCTCTACCATCCCCTTTGGATACTCCTGCTGGTAACAATAGAAGCAGAAGGGAACAGATCTTCTCTCTTGACTGCATTGATATGTTAGAAGAGAAAAACAAGCTTCCTAATAAACTTCAGAAAATTTGTTCAACAAAGGAAGACCTTCAGAAAAGAGTCCTGAGAGTGAGTTCCAGCAATGTAGAGAAAGCTTGCAGCACTGGAGATCTCTTAAAAATTCAGCAAGTAAGTTCTACGCCCAGCAGTGAAGATGATGATGGAAGAATACACCTAAAGGCTTTTAAAATCAAATCCGAGAATTTGACTCAGTCTACTGGAAATCTTCAGTTCCAGCAAAAGTCTCCGGGTATGCTTACCTTGGGGTCAAGGCTAGAGGATAATCTTCCTGCCAAACTTCGGAAAATGAATTCTGATCGCCTCTCCTAAATAAAAAATGCAACAAGAGCTGTTGTAAATAAACTGCATTTGTAACTTCTGGATTATTTTGGAGTACTACTGTGATAATTTGGTTTTGCCAAAAGATTCTTCATAATTAACACATTTGAAAATTAGTTGGTGTTTTTGTATAAATCTGATATGTGTAGTAGCATGGTGATTGTAAAGGGTGCTGTAGAGTTAGTTCATTTTGCCAAATAGGTGTCTGTCCTAAAGATTTTTGCAGTGTTCCGACAGCAGTTTGGTTTAGTCTTCCATCTTTCCAGTGTTCTTTCAAAATAAATGAGAAAACAGGTCCTTACCTAGGGCTAAAGTGTATAGAATACTGGTTGGATATGAGAGGGTGCAAAGACAGCATAAAGTCCACCTCCATGCTCTCTTGATGTTTGGGCTGCCGAGTATCTTGTTAGCAAGTATGCCCTGGCCCATGTAAGTTACAGGAGCCCTCTATCTAGTCTAATTTACATCAGTGTTTAACACCCTTAAGAGACAAAGTCCAGATTATATTCCACCTAATAAGCATGTATGTGAATTTAGGGTATGGATGAACATATCTGTTGAAGGTTCAAATGGGAAAGGAATTCTGTTAAGGAGCATATATATGAGCTGTTACACTCTTAATTGCTATACATGCATGAGCCTATACTATGCAAGTGTAGCAAGCCCCCTCCAACTTTAATCCTGCTTCATCCATTAGCTCATTTGTATGGCTTCAGGCTCAGACACCTATAACAATTAGCTCATATTGGATGCTTTGTGCAGGGTCCATGCAGCAGTGGAAGCCCCCCAACCCCCCGCCCCGCCACTGGATGAGCTGCCCAGGGTTCCGAGAGTCCTACAACCTGGCCCAGGGCCCCATTCACCCCTGCCCTTGCCTCTGTCCCACTCCCTTCCGTACTGTGGGGGCCTTAATCTGCCCTCCCCCAAGCCTTCCCCTTCACAGAGTTGGCTGGCTGCAGTGCTGGGCAGTAATCCACACACTGGGGCTCTGATTCTAGCTGCTTGTCTGAGTGTGCATGCCCCTCCCACTTCCCCCCTGCTGCAGCAGCCCGTAGGCTGTGGCCAGGCTGCCCTGCAGCCCTACCCACTGCTCCACATTTGAGAAGCTAAGCCCTGTTAGCCCTGGCCTTCTGTCACGTGTGTTTATAGAAGTAATGGATTTTCAGGGACTTGAATGGTACTTAGTGTGATTATTGTTCACTTAGGCTGCTGACAGATGTGGGGGGGAAAAAACCCCAAAATCTGCTTTACCAGAAGAAGCAGAGCATTAGTTCAGCCCAGCTCCACTGCATCTGTATAGATTGGGTGCTTCAGTAGGGCTTTTTGGCACTTTTATCTAATAGCTGATTCAATCAGCTATTAGATAAATGACCCCCAAAAGTCCTGTTGCACTGGGCTGAGTGTGGGGGCGTGCCGAGTTTAAAGTAAAGTGCCGTTTGTTTGTTTGTTTTATATCTGTAAGTAGCCTAAGATGCTTACTAGGTGGAATCAAATCTGGCCCCAAATATATAATTGGGGATCAGCCATGCCTTTCAAGCCAGCTGCACATATTGCTATGCTCCTGGAGAATTCCCTTCCAGTGAGGTGAACTCATGCTATTGTGCTGCTCCACAGCTAGGAGGCTAGTGAGCAGGTGTCTGTGGAGGTTTCTGAGGACAGCTGGGTGGGCACAGCAGAGTCATACGGGTATTTGATCTCCTTAAGCTTCTGCTCAGTCCTTTCTGCCACTGCGGGTTCATATGCATCACCTTCCCTGGGAGAGGAGAAAATCTATGAGTACTTCTCACCCTCTAGTCTCACTGACTTTGTTCAAGTTCAAGGTGGAGAGGCCTCACACACTTAGCCAGGCTTTCATACTTTGTCCAACACATCTGCTAACAGGTATGCTACATACAGCATGACAGCTCAAGGCTCCATGACTGTGGCACTCAAAAAGTTCCTGTCTTGTATTATGCTACATGTGCTTCATGTTTGAAAGCTGCATGACTGAAGAGGATAAAGTGAAGCACACCATGGAAGATGGCCTTCTCCTGGACTACCTGCAGTCTGTTTACTGTCACTTCTGGGACAGGGAGATGAGCACTGACTAAGGACTTGAGACAATAAACAGTAGTGGCAGAACTTCAGGATGGACAGGACCACTTTGGATTCCTGTACTGAGCTGACCCTGCCACTCCAGAAGCATGTCACCAACATGATGATGCCCATTACCATGAAGAAGCAACCATGTGGAAGTTGGACATCTTCAAAAATGTCTAATCTGTCACCAACCACTTTGACATGGGCAAGTGCATGGCTGGATCTGCTACACAGGTGTGCTTTGCTAACCAGGAGTTTTTGGCAATACATTTTTTCCACTTCACCAATCTACAGGAGGTCATAGCCCGGCTTCCCCAGATGGCCCATTCCAATCATGACAGATGATAGCACCGACATTCCCCTCTTGTACCCAAGGCACCATGGTTTGAGAACATTACCCACAAGGGGCTTGTTTCCATCATGCTGCAGGATGACATGGGCCAGTAGGGACAGTTACTTACATGCCCACCAGGTTGTTGGACAAGGTCTGTAACACCAGGATGTTTAGAAACTCTGCTCTGGTGCCCTTGATGCCGGAAACATTTGACCATGAGCAGAGAACTAGGAGTGACTACCCCTGCTGCTTGGGGACCCAGCATGCCTGTTTCTCAGCCCTACACCTGACATGTGGATGCTTGGAAGGAGCTCTTCAACAATTAGCTCAACAGCTGCCAGATGATTTTGGACTGTGTCCTTGGGCATTTCAAGGTACAGTGGGTGGCACTAGAAGTGCACCTGGACACTAGCCAGTGTTACCTGCCCCTGATGGTAATTTTGGCCTGTGTGCTCCACAACACATGTGAGGCTAGGAGCAAACCTTTCCTGAAGGCTTGGGCAGCGCAGGCCTAGAAGCTCATCAGCCAGTATCAGTCCCCAACAATGAAGCCCCTCAAGCACCATACATATAAGGACAGTCCTGTACAGGAGGCTCTGGTAACAAATACCAGCAGTACCAGGGTGGGTACGGGAGATGCACCACACTGTACAGCCCAAAGAAATTCAGAAGGAAACTCACTTATTTGTTTGAAAACAACAACAACAAAACTACTTTGTTGTTGTTGTTGTTACTATTGTTGTTGTTAATGCATTCATATTGTCATATCAAAAACATATCTATAAAAACAATAAAAAGCACGTTTGGGGCACAAGCTGTGATCATCTACATAAATGTTTCAGTGGTTTCTCTCAAAGTGACTGCCCATTACATTTTTCTTAGAAAGAAGACAACTATGTTTCGTGCTGTCTTCATTTTTTAATCGGCTTATATCTCCACATTGCAGTATGCCTGTGATGCTTTTCCTTTATAGTCCTTGTGTTAGACAGTTGTAACGTGGCAACTAGGTGGCATAAAAGTCCTCATGTATGTCCTTTAGCAAAGCAGATAGTTTTTTTCATGGTGAATATGTACCATATTCTTTTCTGTCCATTCTCTCTTGTTTGGTGGGGTTGCCTGTTTCCATGCTTTATCATGTTGACAGCTGCTGAGATAAGGTAGGTGCATAGTGATCTGCAGTGATTCATGGTTGAACGATTGGGAAATATCCCAAGGAAGAAAAGTTTGGGGTGAAAGAGGAAGCAATAAGCCAGTTATTTTGTAAATGTTTTTTTCTTACAGACATCTGGAAACCCTGTATAAAGGAAAAATTCCACCACATATGCAGAAGGTAACTTTTTGCATATATCCCGGCCAACACAGCTTAGAGCAGGGGTGGGCAAAATGTGGCCTGCAGGCCAGATTCAGCCCACCAGCTGATTGGATCGGACTCACAAGCAGGCACCCATTAATTTTATATGGCTGTACTTGCTGTGCTTAGTTTGGGACCAAGTCCCGCCTGCTCCTACCTTGGGCAGCGTGTGCTGCGCTCCCAGCCTCCCTCACCAGTG